AGAAATTTACTTATTTTTCTACAAACAGACAAAGTCCAGTTGTAAATTGTGGAAAGCTGAGTTACGTGTCATAAAAATAAATCAGAAGGAAAAAAGTTCTATAAGAATATATAGTAACAATTAATTTTTGAGTTGTAATTTACAATAATTTATAGTAATAACGTTACAGTAATAATTAATTGCTACAGTTGTATACTGTGGAAAACTCAGTTACGAGTTACAAAAATGAATCAGAAAAAGAGGACGTAGAAATTTACTTATTTTTCTACAAACAGACAAAGTCCAGTTGTAAATTGTGGAAAGCTGAGTTACGTGTCATAAAAATAAAGCAGAAGGAAAAAAGTTCTATAAGAATATATAGTAACAATTAATTTTTGAGTTGTAATTTACAATAATTTATAGTAATAACGTTACAGTAATAATTAATTGCTACAGTTGTATACTGTGGAAAACTCAGTTACGAGTTACAAAAATGTATCAGAAAAAGAGGCCACAGAAATTTATTTATTTTTCTACAAACAGACAAAGTCCAGTTGTAAATTGTGGAAAGCTGAGTTACGTGTCATAAAAATAAAGCAGAAGGAAAAAAGTTCTATAAGAATATATAGTAACAATTAATTTTTGAGTTGCAATTTACAATAATTTATAGTAATAACGTTACAGTAATAATTAATTGCTACAGTTGTATACTGTGGAAAACTCAGTTACGAGTTACAAAAATGTATCAGAAAAAGAGGCCACAGAAATTTATTTATTTTTCTACAAACAGACAAAGTCCAGTTGTAAATTGTGGAAATCTGAGTTACGTGTCATAAAAATAAATCAAAAAAAAAAAGGTCGTAGGAAAGTACTTTTCCGCAAAAGACAAAGTTCAAACATTAAGCCAAACGTGTGGCTAGGTTACTAGGTTAAAGCCTGCAAAGAAAGAAGAAGAGCAAAAGTGTTCGCCAAGCCTGGGGAAGATCTACGCGATCTTCTGTAACACGCGACGATCGACAATTTTGACAATGTGAAATTTTCGTGGTGCGAATCTGACGCGATGGCCGGAGAAGCTGCGCGAGTCACGGCAAGAAATACGTACGAAATACATACGAAATACATATCTATATATATGTATATCGAAAGTTGGCATCCGGCGAGCGAGGACTCTTTGCTTTTGCGTCGCGCTCGCACGTGGATGCAATTTCCCTTCGGGAACGGGTAATTGTTCGAACGTGCGGTGGGGTCGTGCGCTAATTACAGTTTCACCGGGAAAAACGAACGGGGACGCGTGTCACGCATGAGAGGGCCGGAAGGAATTAAATTACGCCGTATTCCGGTGCGTCAGCGTTATTCAGCTCGCTCGGCGAAATTATTACCTCAGAATTGTTGGTACGGGCACGGTTTCCCCGTTTCAACGTCGTTCCGCCTCTTACTTTCCCCCCCCCCTTTTTTTTTACTTTTTTTATTTTCTTTTTTTTTTTTTTTTAGAAGAGAATTTCTTGCCGTGCGTTCGCGCTTCAGTTATCTATCTGACGCTTCCGTGTCGCTCTTACTAATACCTAATATGTTTTCTTTCCCCGTGCTCTTGGCTTCAACAGGATTTCAGTGTAAGTAGACACACACGTATCATCCTCACTTCTCTTTCTCTTCTCTTGCGATCACGCACAAATCGTATCTTCGTAATTTTCGATGAAAATTCTGTGTCTCGTTCTCGACTTTTACGTACTTGTTAGTTTCACAATGAACCTTGTCAGTTTCAGCACACAGAATTTTCGTCTACACGCTTCTTGGTAGCCGTGCGAGCGTGGCTTGCGCGATAAAATTGCTCCAGATTCTTGCATTAGAAATTTCAGAGCTTGCCACTAGCCACTAGTGTACCAGTATTTCGTTAGGTCAGACAGTGTTTATGGGCGGCGACGGTGGAAAATGCGAGTTAACAAACTGAATTTCTCCCCGTCCGACAGAACGTTTCATCGCCGGCGTGCGGCGGATTCGGCCTTAACCTCGTTCCAGGGCGAATTTTCTAAAAAAAAAAAAAATTCGTCAGAATTCGTCAACTTCGCGAAACCAAGCGTTAACCTTAATACCAAACTCGCTTCGATGTTCTTTTCTCCCTTTACGAAAGAATAAACCTACACTTTTTCGAGATTAACCTCTTGCTACTCACGTGAAGAATCTTTTTGTCTCAAAATTGCAATATTTTCTCAGTATTTTAGGTATATTTATGTATATACGGGCGAAGCAAACAATGAATTTTTTTATCACTTATTTATCAGTAATTTCGAGTTCAAGAAGAAAGCGACAAATAATTGTGTACGGTTCGGGTGTCGACTCTCAAGCCTGCAAGTATCGCAAATTGCAAATGACTGGAAATGGTTCGTCCCGCCTAAAGCAGACATGTCAAATCGGCTCGCGTTTGATCGGACAAAGGTCGAAGGTCAAAGCGCCAGACAAGATAATGTCAAACGATATCCGGTCACCGCCTTTCAACACTGTCCGCCGCTGGTTTTCTGGCTCGATGGGGGGGGGGGGGGGGGGAGGTGTGTGTGTGTGGGTACGAGTGTCACGGTTGCCAGGCATTATATCAATAATCGATCGGTCGATTTTGCAGACACGGACAATCAGCGTGTCATTATCAACGTGAAGGACGTTAACGACGAGCCGCCGTACTTCATAAATCGGCCGCTGCCGATGCAAACGGTCGTGCAGCTGAACGCACCGCCGAATACTCACGTGTTTACCCTCCAGGCAAGGGATCCTGACACCGACAGCAATATTCATTACTTCATCGTACGGGATCGCAGTACGTATGAATTGCATATTAACCTTAGCTGGGCCTGCGTGTTGTCGGAACGCGGCCAATCGAGGCGTGAAGACCGGCCACGTTCCGACTCGAACGCGATTACCTGTAACTGGCAATTACTCGGCCGTGCATGTGTGCACGGCCCGTAACACCATAATTGCGGGCAGGGAATTATAATGGATAATCGATATCGCGAACGGGGGGGGGGGGGAAGGTTTCTTAATCGTTGGACGCGTTAAGCGGCTCGCTCGGTGATTTCCGCGGATCGTGGAAAATGTTCGACTCGGTCGGAACAAGTATTTTGCATCTTTTTCTGCTTCTCTTCTCTCCGACAGATTTGCAAAACGTGACTGACGTTCAAGCAGTTTTTATCGCGTAATCGTTGGTAAAGCCGATTTTGTTCGAGCTTGTTTTGAAAAATCGTGAGATCAGGAACATTTTCACTGTATTCCGAAAAAAGGGGGGAAACGCTGGTGAAAAATCTATCTGATTTGTATGAAGTGAAGAAGCCTTTTAAACAGTGTCAGAATTTGGTTTGCTAAATTTCGATTTTGCTGTTGTATATTCATATTTTGTTCTTTAACGAAAGTAAATACATTGCAAAGAAGCTGACGAAAAAATTGTATGGCTAAGAAACGTTCATACTACTAAATTTGCTAAATTTCGCCGTCGACGAGGATTTTAAATTGTCTTTTGTCGGAACCGTGAACTTTGAGGTCGACTGAAAGATGATCGAGCCAAATATATTGTACAACAAAGTTTTTGTTTCTCGCGAAAAATTCGTCTTTCTCTTCGATCAAAAAAGAAAAAGAAAACAGAAACGTATAGTTTGACCAACTTAATATATGGGGGATGATTTATTGCGTTCGTAAAAGTCTAGAGGGAGGTTTCTAGCTATTCCGTGGGGAATAGGTTTAAGTTAGGTTTACTCGAAACACCGAGTATTTACTGCACGCCTTTACGAGCCGTATCGAACGAACGAAACAGTAAAATAGATATACGACGAAAAACATCAGGGATAATCTTAAACGTTTTCCAACGAGAAGAACGATGCGATACGTTTAAATTGTTCAAGTGCGAAGATTATGATTTCAAGTCTGAGGAAAGGGCGAGAAGTTATTTTGAAATAGAGAATTGAGAATTTAGAAACAATTTTGATACGAGAAAAAACTATGATAACGAGATAGATATAATTTTGATACGAGAGAAAACTATGATAACGAGAATTGCACTCCTCTTGGTGAGATCAAAGAAAGAAAGAGAAGGAAGTAAAAATTCGAAATTGAGAATCTTCCACACTGTTGGTATTCTGTTTTTAATGTTAAGTCATACGCAATAATAATTCTTTTATAATTCTTTCTTGTTGCAATTATCAAAGAGAGAAAGAGAAGGAAATAAAAATTATAAATTGAAATTATAAATTTTTCCACTTACAATTAGTGTTTTCTTTTTAATTTTAAGTCGATGCAATAATGATTCTTTTAATAAACAATTTTTTATAATTCACTAGAAATTGATAGAAATGAAGTTACATCCATCTTGTTGCAATTTTCCACTTACAATTAGTGTTCTCTTTTTAATATTAACTCAACATGATAATTCTGTGAACAGTTTTCTTAAATTTATTTCAAGTTGATAGAAATAAAATTACACCCTTCTTCAGTTAACATCAGAGAAAGAAAAAGAAGGAAATAAAAGTTAAAAATTAAGAATTTTCCACTTACAATTAATGTTCTCTGTTCGATATCAACTCGGTATAATAAAATTACACCCCTCTTGTTGCAATTATCTTCAAT